ACCACCTGGGGAAACCCGAATATGACGACCATCACCGAGATCGAAACCATCGTCCCTGGGAGGGGAAGCCGACGATACGGGTATTGGTGCCAAGCTCTACTTGGATCACCGCTGGGGTTGCTGAGGGGGTAGGGGGTTCTGAGGTGATGCCAAGGTGGGCTATAGCCGGCCGGACCAGGCTTGTAGATGGGTTGCAAGTGCTCTAAGCGGCTTACGGAAGGCAAATATCTGGGCGAAGCGGGCGAAGCCCACTCAGCGGAGTTACCCAACCCCATGAAGCCACTTGGGGCATCTGTAGCCCATTGATAAAACAGGGTACGCCAAATATAAGCCACAGTAGCATTCACGCAGAGCCCCTCCCCTTAGCCACCTTCGCGATGATCCAAGGAGGCCTCCGATACACAGGAAACCAAAAAGTACCAAATACCCCTACTCCACGGACCTCTCCCAGGGTGCGGTCTGTTTGAGATTTCGAGGCGAATCCAGCCGTGGCGACGAGGGCCGCCCAGGAGGCCCAAACAGAGGAAAACGAGGGAAGGGTAGGGTAGCGGCATGGGTACCTTTTCCTCCTCTGATCAGCGATAACCCAAGAAGGCCTCTGACCAGAATAATCGCGAAGCGAATCCTGCCGTGGCGACGAGGGCCTCCCAGAGGGCCCAAAAAGGCGAAAACGAATGCAGCGGCAGCGGTATGAATACCCTCGATCTGGCAGCGTCGACCTACCGAGAAACCTCGACGAAGGCCGCCCTGGAGGCCCCCAAAAACGAGAACGAGGGATGGGCAGCAGTATGAATAGCATTCTCCTCTGTCGATACCCACACGACAACTGTGAAGGGGCCCCAGAACACACGAATACATACACACAAATAAAATGGTTCCCCATATTTTCCTATATTTTCTGGGTTTCTGTCTTCCCCCCCACTTCCCATATTTTCCCATATTTTCTGGGGGGTCGAGGATTAATTGTGTCTGTGTGTTTTTTCCTCTCCTAATGAATACCTGTTCCTCCTCTGTCGATACCCACACGACAGCTGGGCCGTCAAAATCCAAGACGGGCTGGATAGAATGACCTCCAAAAAATACATATACGATAGGATCCACAGACAAATCGTTCGACAAAAAAGATTGAGCTCGTTTCCAAGATTATTAACTGAAGGGTGCCGCTAGAGGCCTCCGAGATGGGGTTCGGAGTAGATGGGGTCCGAAGATCGCGCCGCAGCGATGCATAGGCGATGCATCGGCAACGTCGGCGATGCACCGGCGACGTCGGCGTAGAGAAAGTCAGGCTCCACATCGAGCCACATCGCCCATGCATCGGCGATGCATCGGTAATGCGGCGCGATCCTCCGAGCCCATCTACTCCGACCCCAGATCTGGGAGGCCTAGAATTAGGTCGGGCATGTCCCGCTACAGGCGGATTTCGGAAGAAAAATAGAAACACTGAACAAAAATGTGTTACGAATCATCAAATGCTCGAGACAGCGTCCCCTGACTATCATTTGATGGATTTGAGTCTCCCTCCTGCCGGGGGACACGCCCCTGACTATCATTTGATGGATTTGAACCTTCCTCCTGCCGGGGGACACGCCCCACTCAAGCCCAGCATGGCCGACCTACCGGTCCACCTCCACCGATCCCCTCCTCGCCCGCGGCCCTTTTTCTCCGCGGCGCGCGCAGCGCAAAAAGGGGCCGCCTGCCTGCCCCCCCCCCGGATCATCTGATACTTACTGAAGCCTCTGGGTCGCGACCGACGGGAGCGGTCGCTGCCGACTTTGCTCCAAAAAGTTCGGCATCGGGCGCGACCGACTTGCTTCAGAAAATCGATCGATCGGTGGCGACCGGCCGCGACCGATTCTGAGATCGGTCGCGATCGGCCGCGACCGATTTGGAGTGCCGGTCGGTCCCTACCGATCGCGACCGCAAAAAAAATGATATCCAATGATCTTCGGGGGCGGCCAAGAGGGGGGGTCCAAGAGGGGGGGGCAAATCATGGCCGGCGGCATGTGCGCGGCCCAAGGGGGGGCCAGGGACGTAATGGAATAAGAAGAGGCGCCGTGAAATCTGAGGAAAAATCGTGGCCCCCGCCATGAAATCCACCCCCCCCTAGCCATCACCCCCCTCTTTGCCGCCCCCGAGATCGGTCGCGACCGATTTGGAGTGCCGATCGGTCCCTACCGATCGCGACCGCAAAAAAAATGGGTATCCAGTTCGGGTCGGGCGAAAGGAGGGGATAGCAAAGGGGGGGTCTGAGAATCAGCTCACGCAGCCGACTTTCCCGGCGCCCCCCGGCGCCGGAGGCGCCCGTGTATCGAGGAATGGGCCACTCGGTGGGGCCGGAAGCAGCTGCGTGCAGCGAATTTCGTACCCCCCCCTTTCCCAATCCCCCCTCTTCGTCCGGCCCGACCGATGATCTGGGCGGGGGGGCCGCCGCCAGCGGGGGTGGCGCCCGCGCCGGGCCACGGGGGGAGAGCGGAGAGGGGCCCGGCGCGGGGCCCGCGCGCCTCGCGGAGAGCAGGGAGCGGCCGGCGCGGCAGGCCCAGAGCGAGGGACGAGGCAAAGGGCCCCTAGCCTCGGGTCGGGCGTGCCCCCCTGCAGGGGGTTTGTGGGCGAGAGATAAGAACTGACTACCTACTAGACCACCCCAACCCAACCCGAAGATCCCAATTTCGGGTTGGGGGGGTACGGGTTCCATATGTGTTTTCTCGATGCTCCCCGACCCCGCCCCCACTGGAAATGGACGTCAATTTGACGCCTTCGGATTGGGTTGGGGTGGTTTGGTGGGTGGTGAAGAACAATCAAGAGATGCCCCAAAGTGGTCGAACACGGTCCACAAATCGTCCCCCGACGTTCCTGTTTGCCCATTTCTGAGCGCGCCACCTGTAGAGGGACGTGCCCGACTGACCCTCTGGGAGGGGACCTGAGGTAGGAGGGCCAAAAGCGCGAGGGACGGGGGGTCTTTTCTGCAGACGTAGCGAACCAAACCGCCCGGGTTCTGCGATCCCTGATGCAACGACGGGGACCATAGCCAGGACACGTCTTCACTGCGTCGTGAGGGTTAGGGGCCCTTTTATTCTCGATGATCTAGGCCTACCACGACATGTTCTTGGAACCCGAGGGTGTCCTTCGAACCAGAACAGCGCTCTTGGAACAGGAAGCGGATGCATGATAGCGAGACAGTCTCGGCCAGAAGAGTTCTGAGAACACGTCGTGTCACCCCCGAGAGGTTCTCGGGACCTTCTCTGGTGGGCCTAACTAGGCAAGCACGGGCGCTTCGCCAAGCTGCGTGAGCCTCACGGCTCGCGGCCGGCCGCGGACGGCCACGGCCCGGGGGCGTCGAAGGCGAAGTACCTCTTCGATAGGGCAGCGTGAGGGGGGGGGGGCCAGCTCAGAGGGGGGGAAACATCGACCTGGATGGTGGGCCTGCTTTTCCACCGCCACCACCCAGCAGTAGGGGGGGGAAGGGGTCCTCCTCCTCCTCCCTCCTCTCTCACCTCCTTTCCTCCTCCTCCTTCCTCCTCCTCCTCCTTCCTCCTCCTCCTCCTTTTTCCTCCTCCTTCTCCTCCTCCTTCCTCCTCCTCTCTCCTCCTCCTCCTCCTCCGCCTCCCTCCTCCCGCCTCCCTCCTCCTCCTCCCTCCTCCTTCCTCCTCCCTCCTCCCTCCTCCCATCCTCCCCTCCTCCCTCCTCCCCTCCCTCCCCTCCTCCCTCCCTCCTCCTCCTCCCTCCTCCTCCTCCTCCCCTCCTCCTCCTCCTCCTCCTCCCTCCTCCTCCTCCTCCTCCTCCTCCTCCTCCTCTCCACCTCATCCTCCATCTCCTCCTCCTCCTCCTCCTCCTCCTCCTCCTCATCTTCCTCCTCTTCCTCCTCTTCATCCTCACCTCCTTCCCCCCTCCAACCTATGGTGGTGCTGGTGGACAACAGGCCCATCACTGGAATCGGCGGCACGTGGCCGATGCATCGGCGATAAGGCCCCCGACAGCGCAGCCGCACGTATCCTGGGCGGGGCGGGCCATCGGACCCCCCGTCGGCGAGCAGTGGGCGATTAACCGGGCCCGTGCGGCCCCTCCTGAGCCTGTGCCCCCCCCTGCGCTGCCCCTTCGGCGGTAGACAAACCCCCTTTCGTAAACCACCTCCTTAGTGAAAACGGCCCAGGACCGAAACCGACCGACCTGGACCCGCAGAAAATGACGGCCGCGACGCCCTCTCGCGAACCGAAAACGGCCAACTCGCCAATCGACGTGTCAGGGCAGGAGGCCTATCAGAAACCTCCGCCCCCTGACCTCCTAAGGGGAACGAACAATGACGTAAGCACAAACAATCGGAGGGCCGCGCGCGTTTCTCGGATCGGCGCTGGGGCCCCCGAACGGCGCCTCCGGCGCCGCCCCTGGCGTGCTCCGCGCGCCCGGGAGGGGGGGGTCCAGCGCGGGTCCGACAAATCCGCGCGGACCTCCGAGCTTTCATGTCCATGTCATGCTTCGTTCCCCGATGTCTGGCGTGAAAGGAGAGCCCAGGCCTCCTGCGAACAGACTCTTGTCAACCGCGGCGATTTGTCTCAGCTGTGGCGTCGCGGCGTTCTTTCTCAGCTTTGGCGTCCTGGGATCCTCTTCTGGCCCTGACCCAGCAAAAGTGGCCGCGGGACGAGCAAGTACCCCGCGGGTCAAGACTTCTGCGCCCAGCGGAGCAGAAGCAAAAAAACAAATCGTCGGACGTCTGTGAACGGCTCCTGTAGGAAAGGGGCTGCGAAGAGTGAGCGTTTTCTTATTCGGCGTTTCGACATCGGGCGGAAGGGGGGATCGAGGGGGGGGGGTCTGGCTCCAGACCACTGCTTAGGGCGACTGATTGCAAGAGTGCGGCCTCTGGGGGGAGACTCCACCCGCTCGAAACAGGCGCCAACAAAAACAGCCATGATCTAGTCCATAGGGAGGAGGGGGGGTTAGGGGAGCCCGCGCCGATCGGCAAACAATGAATAAGAAAAACGATCAAGGAGCTGCTCCTGGGGAAGGCCCCGGGGGGTCCAGAACGCGGTCCCCTCGGGACCCACTCCAGGGACGTCCGACGACGTGAGCTTCCCAGCGCGCGGCACCACGAGATCCGGGCCCCTTCCCTGGGAGGCGGGCGCTTCGCCTCGGAGCCCGTGCTCGGTGGCCCCTTTGGCCCAAGCACGGGCCCCAGAGGCAGAGTGCGGCGGACGTAAAGCGGATTCCAAGCTTCTCATAGTCGTCGGGGGGGCGTCGCCGCCAACAGCCCCACATCGACCCCCGTCGCGGGCAGCCACCGCGCGCCGAAGGCGCTCCGACCCCCCGCCGCGGCGCGACGGCGAGGCGAGGCTGACCCCCCGTCGGGGGGGACCCCCCCCCACGCTTACGGAGGGACCCAGGGTATGCTGTCGCAGGTCTGAGCTCCCCTCTCGGCGGTGCCTGTGCACGCCCGCGCACTCGGTGAGAACCTGGGCGCCGTCCTTGATGCAGTTGGCCCACAGCGTCCAGGCGCCCCTCGCAGGGGCGCTGCTGAAGGTGCCCACAGCCCGAGGTACTCTTAGGTCGGGCATGTCCTCCTACAGGCGGATTTTGGACGAAAGGTAGAAAATTGCACAACAACAAAAAAAACACTCGATTGTCAAAAACACGATGTTTAAAAAGTCATCCCCAGACTACTGTTTTACTATGTTTGACTTTTCCTCCTGTCAAGGGACACGCCCGACTTAAAGGTACTCCCCTCCCCCCCCGCGCCCAGGCCGCCTTCCCCCCCGGGTTCCCTTCTGAGCCCATTCGGCGTCTCAGCTCGCTCGGCCGCCGAATAGGCTCGATCTTGAATCCGTTCGGCAGCCGATCGGGTTCAGCCGCCGAAGGGGCCCAGACGGGACCCTTTGGGGGGCGGGTTGCCCCTCCGACGGGCAGCCTCGGGGGGCACCTGCTCGGCTGGGGCCACGTCTGCCAGCCCCGACATGACATGTCTCCAATTGTTCGGCTGCGGGGCCCCCGGGAGTCCCAGCCCCTTCCCTGGGGCTGGCTTTTCGTCCTGAGCTGTTTTTGTTGACAGCCCCGCCGGACGGCCCACAGGCAACCTTTTCGCACAGAGCCCCGTTTGACGCTCTCCTTGACGGCCCGCTTTTGTTGACGGCCCCTTTTTTCTTGACCGCCCTGCTTGACGGCCGGCTTGACGGCCCCCGTTCGCTTCCCCAGGGCTTGGCTGTTCGTCCTGGATCACTGTTCTGTCTCCGGGGGCCCCGCAAGGGCACCTGGAGGCCGAAAACTGCAAAACACAAGAACATTCTAAGACGGTTCGCATCCTCGCAAGATGAGGTACCACGCGAGGAGCGTACCGTTTGAAGGAAGTACCAGGCGAAGAGCGCGATTCATGCATACATTCTAAGCAGTGCCACGCGAGAGCGACAAATTGAAGTACATTGTAAGGATATACTAGGCGGAGCAATTGTTCTTGTTTGTTGTTGTTGTGAGCTGGGGGCCAACAACACAGTTCGAGCACCAAGCACCAAGGCTTCACCTTGTGACAAACAGGGGCGAGCCCTGGGACAAACACTTTGATTAAAAAACTCAAGGTGCATCAGAGGGAGGGGGTCAACAATAATGATTTCGTGTGAATGAAAATTCAATCATTTTACAACTGAACGTTCTGACTGGCTCGCGTGTCAGTCAGCATGAATATCCCAAACCATCGATAACCGCCCTCTTCATCTTCGATCACACACCCCCACTGGGGATATATCTTCCTTGCCGATTCCTTACCTGCCATGTGCAGTTGGCGCAAGCCCTGAGACAGGGCAGGGAAGGGAGGAGGGAAGAGCCGAGGGGGATGGAGAGGATGGAGCACGAGAGAGATTTGCAGCAGGGGGTTAGAAACAGGAGCGGAAGGGGCAGAACCAGACGGGTGGGTCGGGCGGGCGGACCCTGACGGGCAGGTCGGGCGGGCGGGCCCAGACGACCAGGTCGAGCGCTCGGGTCACTGAAGCGTCAATCCAACATGAATCGCAAGGAAGTTTCCGAGCTATGGCGCGAATCCCAAGTGAATCGTGAGGAAGTCCAGAACGGAAACGTGATTCCTGAGTGGTGGGGGCACGGCGCCGCAATACACTTTGAGGAATTGCTACGCGAGAGCGCGATTCCTGCATATGTTATGAGGAGGTCCCGCGAGAGAGCGCGAATATGAAATAAACTGCGAGAACACACTATCAGGTGGGAGACGTTGTTGAGTTCTCGCTTCTCAAGAGTAAGTATGGTTAATCCCCCATCTACGGTAACCCATGCATATTTCAACTTCCGTGCTTCTCCCAGGGCTCGCACCCTTGGTGTTACACTGGTAAAACGAGGTGTCACCAAAGTGTGCCCCTGGCCCCCGGATTACAAAAACAACCGCAGCAGCAATAACAACAACAGCAACAACAACCACAATAACAACAACAACCACAACACATACTTCAATTACAACAGCAACAACAACAACAACAATAACAATCATTTTAAGACTGTTCGCCTTTATCTGCTCGAGTGTCCAATAACGCATATTTCGCAAACCCTCGATACCCGCCCTCTTCGTCTCCAGGCGAACCCCTTTTGGAGGTGTACCTTTCTTCCCTGCAGGTCGGGCCCCGGCAAGCGGCGGGGCGGCCGCGGACCGTCGGCCTGGCCAGCGGCAGCTCTGATCGGCGGGGCGGCCGCGGACCGCCGACCCGACCCAAAGAGGGACGGACAGGGGCCCGACCACCACGACGACGACGACGACGACGACGACGACGACGACGACGACGACGGCGACGGCGACGACGACGACGGCGACGACGACGACGACGAGCGGAAGCGAGAGTGAAAGAGAAAGACAGCAGGGCCACCAGGACACGAAATAGGCCACGAAGGGCGACAGCGGGGACACGAAGGGAATGCGCTTAGGGCCACGAAGAGCGCGAACGAGCGGGGGCCACGAAGGGCAGATAATGCGGGGCCACAGAAAGCAACGAGGAGACCAGAGGGTAGCAACTGGGCCACGTAGGACAGTGAGGGGGCCACAAACGGCGACAGCGGGGCCACGAAGGGCATGCACATGGGGCCACAACGGGCGCGAACGAGCGGGGGCCACGAAGGGCATACGTATGCTGGGCCGCGGAGGGCAAGGACGGGGCCACTGAGAGCAGCAACAGGGCCACGAAGGGCAGCGAGGGGGCCACGAAGGGCGACAGCGGGGCCACGAAGGGCATGCATACGGGGCCACCACGGGCGCGAACGAGCGGGGGCCACGAAGGGCATACATATATGGGGCCACAGAGGGCAGCGAGGGGGGCACGAAGGGATGCAACGGGGCCACGAAGGGCAGCGAGGGGGCCACGAAGGGCTGCAACGGGGTCACGAAGGGCTGCGACGGGGACACGAAGGGCAGCGAGGGGGCCACGAAGGGCTGCAACGGGGCCACGAAACAAAGCGAGGGGGCCATGAAGGGCTGCAACGGGGCCACGAAGGGCAGCGAGGAGGCCACGAAGGGCTGCAACAGGGCCACGAAGGGCAGCGAGGCGGCCACGAAGGGCTGCAACGGGGTCACGAAACAAAGCGAGGGGGCCACGAAGGGCTGCAACGGGGCCACGAAGGGCAGCGAGATCCCGATGCCTAGGTCATCTGTGAGGGAGTCCTGAGCGTGAGCGCGACTCCTGGGTGCCTGGGTGTCGGGAGCGCGGCGCTGGAGGAAATTCCAACGCAAGGGCGCTATTCTTCAGTACATTGCAAGCAAGTCTTCAGCGAGAGCGCGACTCCAGAGCGCCGGAAGAGCGATTACTGAATAAATTGTAGGGAGGTCCCCAGCGAGAGCGCGATTCCTGAATAAAATGCGAGGATGTCTCGGGCGGGAGCGGGGGTCCTGGCTAAATTGTGAGAAAGTCTCAGGCGGGAGCCGCTGTTGTTGTAAATCGGGGGCCAACGACACAGTTTGACCCTCAAGATTTTCCCTGATAAAAAAAGGGTGCGAGCCCCGTGCAGGGCACTTCAATCGGAAAAAAGCAATGTGCACCGGACGGGGGGGATCAACAATCATTTTCCTTCAGAAATGAGAGTTCAACAACAACAAGTTGAAGACTGTTCGCTCTCGTCTCCCCGCGTGCCATTCAACACGTCTATCCCAAACCATAGGAATCCGCCCTCTTCATCTGCGATCCTACCCCCTTGGGGGTATAGCTTTCTACCTGCAACGTGTATTTCGTGCAGCCCCTAAGGCAGGGGAAGAGAGGACGGATGGAAGGCAGGGAAAAGAGGGAGGGAGGAGGATGAAGCACGAGAGGAGGGAGTAGCAGGAGGGGCGCTAGGAGCAGAAAACACGAGGCACAACCAAACGGGCAAATCGGCGGACAGACCCTAGCGGGCGGGTCGGGAAGGCGGGCCCAGGCGGCCAGGTTTAGCAGGCGGGTTGCTGAAGCGTGGGTCCTGCATGAATCGCGAGGAAGTCTCGGACGATAGCGCGATTCCCCAGAGAATCGCGAGAAAAGCAACAGCGAGAGCGTGGTTTCTGAGTGTCGAGGGCGCGGCGTCTGACTGAATTGCGAGGAAGTCCCACGCGAGAGCGCGACTCCAGCATAAATTGTGAAGACGTCCAGCGCGAGAGCGTAGTTTGGGAACACATGGTGAGGAAGCATCAAGCGGGAGCCGTTGTCGTGGTTGCTGCAGCCGGGGGGCCAACGACTCAGTTTGAGCAGTAAGACGTTCCCTGGTTTAAAAAATAGAATGCGAGCCCCGGCGGGGCACTTCAATTGAAAAACACAGAATGTGCACTGGCAGGGGGGATTCACAATAGTTACTTTCCAAAGATGAGAGATCATCAACTCAAGCACCCAAACTTTGCCAAGAAACTGAATGTTTGGAAACGCCCAGCCTTGAGCAGGGACCGACCGTGACGGCACTCCTATAGGCCTACCACGACATTCTCTGAGAACCCAGAATGTTCGAAGAACAAGAAAATGTTCTCAGAATATTAACCCAATGTGTTAAAACAAGACAGTCTCAACCAGAAGTGTTCTAAGAACCTTTCGTGAAAACCACAAAAAAAAAGGTAATTAAAACACTGTTTGGTTGGCCTATAGGCACGCCAGGACGCTTCGCCACTGTTTGGGAACACTCCGCCTCATGCAGACGAAGGCCAACTTGGCCTCGCCCACGGACACCTGCCGGCTGCACGCAAGGGGAGCATCGGAAAGAATGGCCCTTGGCAAGCGGCATCAGAGGGCCGCCGGGAGGGGAGGGGCTCTCGCGAATCGACGAGACTCGAAGCCAATCCACGCTACATCGACGCGTAACGACACTCATCGACGCGAATCGATGCGAAATCGACGCTGACGCACTCCGAAGAAAGGAATGAAAATGGTATACGAGGCTCCCATGATTTGCTGCCGAAGTGAACGTTGTGAAACCTGTAACGGCGGGAGGGGGGGAGGGGGGGGGGGGGGGGCAAATCTGGGCACGCAGGCCAGCGCTGGGGGGCCCTGTGGGGCCCGCACCAGAAGGGCACCCCCGCGAAGGGCCACTCCTGAGCGAAAGGCAGGTTCGTGTCGTCACGACGTCGGCGGTGGTCTGTTCCTGGCACCACGTGGCTCGCTCGACCTTAGCGATCGTGGCTCTGCAGTGGCGCACGCAGTCCGCCCGATGCTGGCCGCTTCCAGGCCACTGGCGGCGCTCGACCTTGAGAGGCCCGCGCTGGGGCCGCCGCCACATCGAGAATACACGAGCGTTAGAGGAGGAAGTGCGGGTACCCATCGGTCGGGCGAAGCAGGTAGATCCATGAAGTAGGAAGGCGTTGCGAGTGGATTGGGCGTCCGCCCGCCCCCTCGCAAGGAGGGAAGAGGTGAAGCCACTCGATCCTTGAAGTAAGAAGGCGCCTAAAGTAGATTGGAATCTGGCAGTCCGAAAGATACCTACTCCCAACGACCGACGGGTAAACTTTCGGAGGTCCGTGCGAACTCCGTGGGTCGGCGCTGGACCCCTCCCCCTCCCTGGCGCTCGGAGCGCGCCGGGGGCGGCGCCAGAGGTGCCGCCAGGGGGCGTCCAGCGCCGACCCGAGAAATCGGCGCGGACCTTTTTTTCTTCGGCGCCACAGTTCAGCTCGCAGACCGCCTAGCACCCTGACGCAAAAGGGAACGAATGTCCCATCGAAGCGACGCAAGACGCCGTTCAGCATTCCGTAGCTTGTGCTCGCTTTTCAGCGCATCCAACTCACCCTGCAAAGACGCAACGCCGCTGTCAGCTCCATCTTGACCACGACGACGGTACAAACGGGATCGTACATTACGTATGTGCAAGGCTCTCTCGCACCCTGCTGCATCGAGGAACTTCCAACGAGACTGGTTTCCTTTCAACTTGGATAAACTATCGCGGATGCGTGTGTAATTATCTCGAGTGAGAGACATGGCCAATATAGCCTGTTGTTTTTTTCCTGCGAGGCCCGAATCCAGCATTTGCTGCAGCACTGCTAAAGATGAAGCTGTTGTGCACACGGAAAGACTGTAGTGTCCCCTCCTACACTGCACGAGGCTCGCATTGACACCTGGGAAGGTTCGTTCAATCAACGCTTTAATACCAGCTAATGGCACATCGTACTTCTGGGATACATTCAGAGTTACGCGCCCTTCGGATGGTTTGATCAAGATACATCCCTCCGCGTCAAAAAATCCAGCTACATAACCCCAGCTGGCGTCAGGACACGGGCCAGGAGCTTCACGCTTCAGATAACTCAAGGTACTCGCAAGCCTACCACGGTGTAATGGACAAGTTGGCGCCTCAGAAACTAAAAGGCCAAGCTGCTCACGCTTCACCACAGACGCTCTTGTGAGCAATGACGCAGCGACCCTCGCTCCATTGCCGTATAGCCTCCATGAGAAAGAATACTGGTGACTCCCTTTCACAGACGCCCCCTTGTAGATACCACCGCCAAACTGATTCATAAACTTAACCAGGACTGCAACATTACTTTCAGCTTGGTGGACCTGCAGCGATCGACGTTCAAAACTTCGACTTGAAGTCACGCAACCATCTCCGTCAAAGAATCCTGCGAAATAATCTAAGACTGCGTTCGGAGCATGTTCGCTATCATCAGACGGGTCCTGAGCGCGGACGGGCAATGAATACATCTTTCCATCTACGACGAAGCTCTGACATGGTGGCCGAATCAGGCGCTTCCGAAATGACTCAAGACGCCGGCATCGACGTTCAATCGTATCCCACGGGTCAGGTCCAACAGAACAGCGTCTGCAGAAAGAACCTATTGCACGCCAATGCCGCCCTTCTGGCACTAGCAATGCATGCATATAGCCCCCTCCTGCCAACAACGCACGTCCAAACCCAGCGCGGATCAGTGTCATAAAAGCAGCATGCCAAGGGCAATGGCGGCGATGCAAGAGAGAACCATCCGCTGATGGACTGCTGAGCGACAACGCACTAATACAGATTCAACACGCATAGCCCCTTGAAGCTTTGAATCGAGATGACTTGAGCCAAAATGGCTACGGAGAAATCTGCTTGGACCTTGACAAAGTCCACTGTGGTGCTAGGCACGGGTAGGTATCACACACATCAGCGTCGACACAGATAAAGGGAGGGAAGGAGGGAGGGAGGGAGGGGGGGACGGAAGGAGGGAGGGAGGGAGGGAGGGTTATGCCGATGCTTCTGTGTCTTCGAACGACACGGGCCTACCTCGGCATAAAACGGACGGGTCCTGAAGGAAGCGGGTCCTGGATCCCAGGGCCTTCCTCCAGAACCGCTTGTTCGTCCAGGGCCTAGACCGTTTCGGGGATGGACAGAATTTAGCAAAACGTGGTTTAGTGAAAACGACCTCGGGCCCGAACCTGGCGGGCGCAAGCCTGGAAAATGACGGCCGCGGCGCCCTCTCGAGACCCGAAAACGGACAATTCACTTATCGACGTGTCAGAGTGGGGATCCCTGTCCACCCCCGATCGTTGTTCTGGCAATCCCGAAGCCCGATGCGTTGCCCCATGAGCACGTCCCCCCCCCCCGAGCGGCTGCCCCTGCTCAGGGCCCGCCCCCAGGCATGCGACGACGCGTGCTTCAGTGCGCGCGGCCCCGGAGCTCCAGGCCCCCTACCCCTGGAGGCAGCTCCCCGCCGCGGACCCGCTTCTTGGAAGTGCCCCTGGGGCAAAAAAAAAAAAAACAATAAAAAAAATGGGCCCCAGGGGCCCGACCCCGAGGAGAAGCGCACGGCTTCGAGCCATCTGTCCAATCTGCGAGTCGGAGAAGAGCGACGACCGAATTGATTTGCCCAAAACTTGATATCTTGCAGGATCTATCAGAGAATGCGCAGAACCCTCCGTAGATCTGCGGAGCATTCTGTGCCATTCTCGTGGACTCTACGACACAATGTCAGGGGAAATCACCTCGGTCGTCGACCCCCTGCTCGAAATCTGGGCTTCCTGCCCGGACCCTGGACGCCACGCCTCCTCACTACGCCGCACTCCCCAAGAGGCCTCGACCCATCATCCCCCGGGACACGGCGTCGCTTCTGCGGACGGTCCTGCGGCCCGAAGGAGCCCCCGAGAGGCCGGAGATGCCGGAGAGATGGCAACCACAGAAACTCTGCACGCCTCTTCACTACGTCGAACTCCCCAGGAGGCCTCGACCCATCATCCCCCAGGCTCCGGCGTCGTTTCTGAGGACGGTCCTGCGGCCCGAGAGCCCGCCGAGAGGCCGGAGATAGCAACCACAGAAACTCTGCACGCCTCTTCACTACGTCGAACTCCCCATGAGGCCTCGACCCATCATCCCCCGGGCTCCAGCGTCGTTTCTGAGGACGGTCCTGCGGCCCGAGCGGGAGCCCCCCAAAAAGGCCGAAGAGGTACACGTCGTTCATTTCTAATCGTGCGCATTTCTAATTTTGCTCGTTTCGAATTGCTCCTGGCCCCCTAGTGGCCAGGAAGAGTCCCAGGATAGAACAAATAGCAATGACAGGATCTTGGCCCCAAAAAAATCAAAGAACTCTCGAAGAATTAGACATGAACAATGTGTATCAGCAACAGCAACAAAAAAAAACCTGCCCGCCGTGCCTCTTCCACGGCGCGAGAAGGTCTTCCTTGTTCCTCTCCTTCTTCGGGGGCGCGCAAACGTGGATTAGCGATCTACGGATTTGGCGCGTGGTCGCCTCATCTTAGGTCGGGCCAGTCCCCCCACAGGCGGATTTCGGACGAAAAATAAAAAATATTTCAAAAATACCCCAAAATGGTCAAAAAATAATCCAAAAATCGTCCCCCGACTATTTCTTTACTATTTTTGAAATTTCCCCCTGTAGAGGGACAGGCCCGACTTAAGCCTAATCCATGGATCGGGAGAGGTGCCCTTCCCAAAAGGCGGCCGGTGCCGCCTCGTCCGGCGGCGGAGATCCGCCATCTCCTATGGAAACGGGACCCGTCGCTAATCCAGGTCCATGTTTGCGGTCGCCCGACTTCTGTGGGAAACCATCGGTACTCCGGATTTCATAATAAAGTGGGGGGGGTCACATTCGGGGGGGGGGTCTATTTTGAGCTGTCTTGGAGGGTTCGGGGGGGTCTGGGCAAAGGGCCGCCCTTTGATGGATAGTTTGGGGGGTCTAAAACTTCTCGTCTGGGAGGGTTGTGACCCCCTCCCTTTTATTACGAAATCTGGAGTACCGATAGCGCTACTCCGCGGACCCCTCCCGAGGTGCGTGCCGACCAGCAGTTTCGAGGCGGATCCGGCCGCGGCGACGGGGGCCTCCTGGGAGGCCCCGCGCACAAAAGAAGACGAGGCAACGGTGGCGGTTTCGGTATACCGTGCCGAACTCGGGTCTCCAGCGGCCGTTCGGGACGACTCGGGTCCACCCGAAAAGCTCTCTGCGAGGAGAAGGCTGCTGGAGCGCATCGCGAGGCAGGAAAAAGCCTGCAGGAGATGCAGTATTCCGAAATGCGTGGCGACCCCCGCAGGCAGAACCTGCAGCGCTCCCACCGCGCCGCCGGGGTCGCAGCGCAGCCACTCGCAGCAGCCGCCCGCCTCGGCTGCCGCCTCGGCCGCCTCGGCCGCGCCCGCCTCCGCGCCGAGCCCGCCGCGGAGCAGCCGCTCCTGCTGGGGGGTCCCTGGACGGCCGCGGTGGCAGGCCGTGCGGAGACCTCGAAGCCCCCAGAGACCTCATCGCACGAGCCGCGGCGTGGGCCGTGCTCCGAGGATGTCGCGGGCGACTGAGGCGAGGTCGGGCACGTCCTCCTACAGGCGGATTTCGGGCGGAAAGTGAAAAATGGCTAGGGAAGGCTCGCAGATACTCCAAAAATGATCGAAAAAACCGTCCCCAGGCGAGCTCTTTCCTATTGTTTCAACTTCCCCCTGCAGAGGGACATGCCCGACTGCACACTGGGGCCTCCAGGGCCCCAAAAACAGTGCGGACACCCCGAGTGCCGACGGACTCACCACACTGGTGTGGTCACCGAACCCTTTGGGCGCACACTCCTCCTCCTCCTCCTCCTCCTCCTCCTCCTCCTCCTCCTCCATCTCCTCCTCCTCCTCCTCCTTCCTCCTCCTCCCTCCTCCTCCTCCTCCTCCTCCTCCTCCTCCTCTCCTACCTCCTCCTCCTCTCCTCCTCCTCCGACCTCCTCCTCCTCCTCCACCTCCTCCTCCACCTATTCCTATACCTCCATATTCCCTCCTCCTCCTCCTCCTCCTCCTCGCTCGCTCGCTCGCTCGCTCGCTCGCTCGCAGACTAAAGGCCCATGCAGTTCGCAGCCTCTTCTGGGATTAAAAAGGGGGAAGGAGACAAAAAGAGCACGACGCAGGCAGCAGCTGTTGTGACATCAGGGATCCCTTACCAACACCTGCCAGCATCGAGAGCCTCTGGGCCACAGGTTACAACAGATACGGATCGAGAGGACCAAGAGCCTCCGCACCCACAGGAAGTTCAAAGTCCCCCTCACACAACTGCCGTAACATACAACTGTCCCAAACGTCGCACAAGGAGAGGGCAATCAAGGTCGACACAGGAGCGGGCAACGTAACACTAATACACCCGCCGTTGCCCTGAGACATGCAATGCACATGATCGCCCATGCACCTCCATCCTCCCTCACTCTCAACCCTCGGGCGGAGACTCGGCATCCACGATGCCACGATGCCGATCGGGTCCCACTCCGCGCCACCTGAGACAGCGCACCTCTCGAACCTGATAGCACTGGCGGCAGGGCTGGCAGCAACGGCATCAAGAAAGGGGAAGCTGTCAAACTCGAGCAGATGCCAAATTTTCTGCTCCGACAGGGTGGCCCATGGAACTCCGTGGGCCTGCGCAAACACCGCCAGTCTCAAGGCCCCTCTCATCACCACGTTTTCCTGCATGAGGCGATCACGCTGCCTAGAATTGGCAAAGGGTCTCCCCCAGGGAAACTCGGAACCTCTAAGAGCCAGTTCCACTCTCACTCCGAACCTCTGGAGGAAAAAAACAGCCCCCCGCAACGCGGCCCTGGGAAACTGTTTCAGTCCAATGGGCGGCCAGCCCCTCAGTCCACTGAGAGTGCGAGAAATGCTGAATGGCTATCTGCACTCCTCTCCGTGACAGAATCGTGGTGAGCACTTGGTGGAAATCGCCACTCAGCCTCCCCTCATCAACGATCAAAAAAAACTGAAGCAAGCTCTCAGCACGGGTCAGAGCAGCTGGCGCAACACAAACGGGGGCCTCGACAGCCACAGTAGGAGCATCACCAGCAACTCCTCTCCCAAGATCGAGCTTAGGAGCTAAGGGTGGGCCTGGCACTCGGTAGGCAGCTTTTTCCACAAAATACTCATGCTTGCCCCCCTTGCGGTTATTCTTCTGAGTCAGCGCACTCTCGCGGATGCTCTGCTCAAGCTCCGCCTGGTCCACCGCGCGTCCCAGACAGGCCCAAGCTTGACAGCATCCCACTTGCTGTTTAAGGTGTTTAACGAGTCTCCCTCGAGTGTGGAATTCCGTTAAACAAATTTGACAAAGCGATCCGACCGCCCACAAGGACGGGTCTCGAGCATCTTTGTGAAACTTGTTGCGATGGACCGCCAGCCCTCTGGCCGTACTGGAGGTAAAGCCGCACTCGTAGCAAAAGTAATCACTCGGCGTTTCAGTTTGACTCGGGCCCTCAGGCCCAGCACCAGGGACCGTAACGCCTAAGTGGGCCACCGAGTGTTGAAGCTCTCGAGCAAGCTGCATCTGGTGCTGGAGAAAGAGCTGCCTGCGCGCAGCTTCCGTAACCTTAGCAAGAAAGTGGCGCCTGGCAGACCTGGCCAATTGAATCCAGTCGTCCGCTGACCCCGATTGGGGCACATCAAGCTTGTTGACCACACTATTCAGCCACTCCAAGTCTTGCCTCGAGATAGCGACCCACGAGTCTTGCACATCCCACAGACAGTCCAAGGCCACTCTTAGCCCAGCTGGGGCAGAACCCAACACTCTGGGAAGATACCTGAGGCGCGCTATCCGCATCACCGTTCGGTGGTCAAGCCTATTAGCAGTTCGTAGAACAGACTTGTGAGAGATCCTGAGCTCAGCATTGGCAGCTAAGGGGATGCCGAGGGCGGCACGGTAGGCCGCGGCTTGCGCGCAAGCAATGCGCGCATGCATCTTGTTGCTAACAGGCTTCCACACACAAACGTTATACCGCAGCTTGGACAGAGCATACGCATCCGTGTACTTGACCTTCGTAGACGTGTTGAGAGCCTGCCGCTTTCCAAGCGCAACTTGTATCGGACGCAGTTCTCGACGCATCTGCGCAATGCGATGCGCCACTTCCACGTTGGGCCCTCCCCCCTCCAGCATCATCGTTCCCAACCCCTTGATTTGCTTGGCGACACTGACAGATATTCCATGCTCCTCCGAAACGATACTCACATTCCCCTCTCCCTTGGAAAGTAGCTGTCGGACTCCCTTTGAGTACCTCCCCACAATAGCCAGAAGCAACAAAAGTCTTGCTCTCATTGAGCCGCAGTCCGTACCTGGCCACGGCCACAAAAACAATATCAACTAGCTTGGCGGCCTGCGCTGGAACTTTCCTCGCATCAGGCTCTGCCCCGACTGGGGTGAGATCATCCACAAAAGAAACGCTACAGGCCTGGTGCTGCCAGTCAATCTGAGCAGCGAAGTGCAGTGGTCTCTCTTGGGTCTTCCATGTCATGCCAGCAGTCTCCATCTCAGTCTCAATCTCATCGATGATGGGTTTGAACGCAACATTAAAGCCGTCCGTGGCAAGGATAGTCCCAGGACGGGTCCCAAGGGTCGGACGAACGAAGCTAGAGGCATTCCTCACCTTCCAGAACTCTCCCGCTTGAGACTCCCTCACCAGCTCCAGAAGGTGAGCATCGCCAATGGTTTGGTCCAAAATCGGGAAGCCCTCAAGGGCTTTGGCGGCCGAAAATAAGGCAGGTGGTAAAGGCGAGTCCTGCATCGCATCTAACAATTCTTGTTCCTCACCTGGGAGTCGTATTATGTACTGTTTGATAACACTATAAAACGCAGCTGTGAGGTCGAGGAAGAGCCCAGTAGATGACACACCATCCCTACGCTGAGCGTGGAATCTGCTGCGAACAAAATGCGTTGCAACATCAGTGGACCTGCCCTTGAAACCTCCGCACTGAGTGTCATGAAGACACTGTCCTATAAATTGCCACGCTCTCTCTCTGACAAATTTGTGGTGCACCTTACTGATGGTGTTCCCCAGCAGTATACTTCGCTGGGCTTTAGCTTTACTTTGATCACCCTAAAACTCACCACCTGTCCCTCTTTGAACCCATGCGGTTCACGACCCCCAATCGCAGTTTTAACCAGGATCGGGTGGAAGGCTCTCGCAAGGCCCTCAGGTTCGATCAGGAACAAGTCCGTGTCGAGACCATCTGGCCCGCCCGCGGTCCCCCTCTTCAATTTACTCAGGGATCTATCCGACACTTGCCTAGGGATCACGTTTTCAATGCTGAGGGGGTTTCCATCAGATAAAACTGTGCCTCTGAGGTTATACAACTCAACAATTTGCTCTCTGGTAGCCGGCTGAGCTTTTTCGATCTCGCCAAAATGAAGTTGTAGATCGTCAGCGTCGTCCTGCGGCGAAAGCAATGGAACTCCTTCGGGAGTCGTCCTGAGAGGGAAAGCAAGGGGCTGCTTGTGGCGGCGGCCTCCGTGGAGCAACAGCTTACCAGCTTGTCGCCACTCGGCCCGTGACACATTGGCTTTAATGCTCTCAGAAATGTTGACAGCTTGCTTTTCTAGATAATCGCTGTAGTCCCTATCTAAGGACTGCAGGAGGACCTCAAGGGATCCCTTAAGAAAACACCCAAGTTCCAACCCCCACTCAGCAACGTGCAAACGCTTCCAGAGAAAGTCCCCAGCAGCTTTGTCGAGCCTCGTCCACATGGCGACGATATCATGCCACAACGGGGTTTCCCTGATCAAATCATCATCGAGTCTTTCCCGAAGCTCGCCCTTTCTGACGCTGAAGGCCAGGAAAAAAAAGTCGCCCGACATTATCTTCAAGTTCGCCTTTCAGGCGAACATACATCAGCGCTTTTTTGACGGCACGTCGAGCACGGATAAGCCAGAATGTGCCAACAGTCAGGTAGGGTTTGCGTGGCCTCAACGCCTCCTTTTTGAAAGCTCTCTTGGCAGCCTGCCGAACATACTCGCACGTGTCCTGAAGCTGCACATTCCAGTCAACGTGCCGCTCAGCAAGGTGAAAGTTGCGAATGGATTCTCTAAACAGGTCGCATGGCCTATCCAGGAGCATCTTGCCCCTGTCTAGGGCAGTAGCAGCACCAACACTTTTGACGGTCTCGCGTGTCCAGGCAAGCTTGCCAAGCACAGGGAAGTGATCATCGGCTCTCCTGATCAAGTCAATGTGATGTTCCACGGAGATGTCAGAGATGCTTTTAAAAACCTCCTCATCAGTAACAATAAAATCGATTCTGTGCTTAGTGCCAGCTTTATTTGACACGAATGTGAAGTCTTCCTCGGGGCCCAAGAACGTATTAGCAGCCTTCAAGCTGAAGTCGTTAAGCCATTCCGCCATTTTGAAAGCTCCCGCCGAGCTCTGGCCCCTCATCCCCTTGGTCCCCGCATAGGAGCAGTCCTGATCCCCCTCCTCCTCCTCCTCCTCCTCTCTCCTCCTCCTCCCTCCTCCTCCTCCTCCCTCCTCTCTCGACGGGGGCGGGGGCGGGGGCGAGCTGCGAGCTGCGAGGGGGGTCTATGCCCCCCCCCCCATATCGGCGAAGAGCGAGGCTCAGAGGAGGAAAAGGTACCCATACTCAAGCAGTGGCGAAGCGTCCTGGCGTGCCTATAGGCCCACCAAAGAGAGTTGTAAGAACCTTTTTGTGGTCTGCACGAAATGTGCTTAGAACTTTTCTGGCCGGGACTGTCTTGTTTAAACACATTGCTTTTGTTCTCAGAACATTTTGGGTTTCCAATAACGTTTCATGCCAGGACGGCAGGTCCCTGCTCAAGGAAAGGTACCCACACCGCTACCCTTCGCCTCGTTTTTTTGTTTGTCTCTTTCTAGGCCTCCGGGGCGGTCCTAGTCGTCACCGCTGGATGCGACTCGAAATCCTGGTCAGAACGCAGCCCAGGAGAGGTCGGGGGAGTAGCGGCATCGGTGCCCTTGGTTTTCCCAGAGTCTACCGGCGCATTGAAACCGTCTGGGGGTCTGAGGTGGGCCGGCACTGGCCAGCAGGAAGGGCGGACGGGTGCTTGCTCCGGCCCCCGGAGGCCGTTTGCGGGCCGGGGGACCGTCAGACGGATCCGGGGTGAAGAATTGCACCAGGTGGATCCCAGGAGGGGGTCCAGGAGCAGATTTTGAACGGATTTCGCGTCATCGCTCCTCCTGACCGATACTCACTCGTTCTTAACCAGCTCAGACCCCCCAGCCGCCTCCAACATTCTACGGCAGGTTCGTGCCATGCCGACTTCGGCGTTGGTTCCTGACACCGCCGGGATGGTCCAACCTCGAACGATCGGCCGTTTCCGAAACGTCAGATCGTTCAACGATGGGCCAATTCTGGGTCGCGGGCTGCGTTCAATGTGCAACGGCGACGGCGGGGTCGCCCCTGGTCGACACGACGCGCGCGACGATAAACTTTCGGAGGCCCACGCGGATTCCTTGGATCTGCGCTGGACCTCTGGGCGGCGCCATCCGGCGCCGCCCCCTGAGGGCTCCGCCCCTGGCCCTGCGCGTTCCGCGCGCCAGGGAGGGGGTGTCAGCGCCGAGCAGCAGAACTCCGCGCGAGCCTCTGCCAGTCTCTGCCCGTGTAGTTGTTGCGAAGGCCCTGCGGCCGATGCTGCCAAGCCCGGAAGAAGACCCCCATGAAGAGGGTGACGGCCACAGCCAGAGGTGTTCGGGAAGGCAGGGGGCAGACGCCCCGCAGAGTTCCCCGGAAGCCCCATGAGGGTCCCAAGAAGCGTCCGACGAGGAGCACAGCCTGGCAAAGCTGTCTGCCTATGTGCTCCCGCAGCCCCATGGGGAGGAATAGAGAGAACGGGGGATTGTGGAGTACCTCGCCTTTCGAAGAGCGTATAGGTGTAGTTTTTCGTGGGGATTTTGAACATTCTTCCTCTTCCTCCTTCTTCCCCTCCTCCTCCTCCCCCTCTTCCTCTTTCTCCATCTTCTCCTACTCCTCTTCATTCTTCTCTCTCCTCCTCCTCCTCCTCCTCCTCCTTCTCCTCCTCCTCCTCCTCCTCCTCCTCCTCCTCCTCCTCCTCCTCCCTCCCCCCAGAATCGAGCTTTTTTCTTTTCCTGCCCCCCCCCCCCAACAAAAACACATTACCCTGGCGACGCACCCAACCCCTGCGCAATGCGGGGCATAAGTAACTGGGGAGAGGTTATATGGAGGTGATGACGTGACATGGGCGCATCTACTTCTGCGAGCGGCATTCGTGACGCCCGCAGCCTCCCAAGGGTTGCGAGGTCCCGCTCAGATCTGCGCGGTGCTTCACTCCGCTGGACCCGCCACCTGCCTTCGAAAGTGGCGACGGTTTCGCAGATCGCAGCCCCCCAAGGGCGGCGAGGTCCCGCTGAGATCTGCGCGGTGCCTCACTCCGCTGACCCACCATCAGCCCTCGAACGAGGCGACAGTTTCGCAGATCGCACCCCCCCAGGGACGGCGAGGTCCCGCTGAGATCTGCGCGGTGCCTCACTCCGCTGGGCCCACCAGCAGCCCCCGAAAGTGGCGACGGTTTCACAGATCGCGATGCTGTTGCCAAAAGCAGCCCTCGAACGTGGCGACAGTTTCGCAGATCGCAGCTCCCCCCAGGGACGGCGAGGTCTCGCTCAGATCTGCGCAGTGCCTCACTCCGCTGGACCCACCAACAGCCCTCGAATGTGGCGACATTTCCACAGATCGCCCAAGGGACGGCGAGGTTCCGCTCAGATCTGCGCGGTGCCTCACTCAGCTGGGCCCACCAGCAGCCCCCGAAAGTGGCGACGGTTTCGCAGATCGCAGCCCCCCAGGGACGGCGAGGTCTCGCTCAGATCTGCGCGGTGCCTCATTCCGCTGGGCCCACCAGCAGCCCCCGAAAGTGGCGACATTTTCACAGATCGCAGCCCCCCAGGGACGGCGAGGTCCCGCTGAGATCTGCGCGGTGCCTCACTCCGCTGGGCCCACCAGCAGCCCTCGAAAGTGGCGACGGTTTCGCAGATCGCGGCCCCCCAGGGACGGCGAGGTCCCGCTGAGATCTGCGCGGTGCCTTACTCCACTGGACCCACCAGCAGCCCTCGACAGTGGCGACAGTTCCGCAGATCGCAGCCCCCGAGGGACGGCGAGGTCCCGCTGAGATCTGTGCGATGCTTCACTCCGCTGGACTCACCACCAGCCCTCGAACGCGGCGACAGTTTCGCAGATAGCCCCCCAGGGACGGCGAGGTCCCGCTGAGATCTGCGCGGTGCCTCACTCCGCTGGACACACCAACAGCCTTCGAAAGTGGCGACTGTTTCGCAGATCGCAGCCCCCCAGGGACGGCGAGGTCCCGCTGAGATCTGCGCGGCGCCTCACTCCGCTGGGCCCACCAGCAGCCCTCGAAAGTGGCGACGGTTTCGCAGATCGCGGCCCAGGGACGGCGAGGTCCCGCTCAGATCTGCGCGGTGCCTCACTCCGCTGGACCCGCCAGCAACCCTCGAACGTGGCGACAGTTTCGCAGATCGCACCCCCCCAGGGACGGCGAGGTCCCGCTGAGATCTGCGCGGCGCCTCACCCCGCTGGGCCCACCAGCAGCCCTCGACAGTGGCGTCGGTTTCGCAGATCGCAGCCCCCCAGGGACGGCGAGGTCCCGCTGAGATCTGCGCGGTGCCTCACTCCGCTGAACCCACCAGCATTCCTCGAACGCGGGGACAGTTCCGCAGATCGCAGGCCCCCAGGCGAGGCAAGAGGAGACACGAAGGAGGGGAGGGCTGGAGGCGGGAGGCAGGAGGCGGGAAGGGGGCGGGAGAGAGAGACGCGACCGCGGTGCTCTAGTCAAAACGAATACCCAACCATGGAGGGTTGGGGAAACACCAAACGAACAACAACAAACGCGGCGCGGCCTCCCGTTTTTTGTTGGGGGGCAACATATGAAAACAACTCGATTCTGGAGTAAGGAGGAGGAGAAGCGGGAGGCGGGGCTCCCCGCCCCCAAGTGCCTCGAATTTCCTCTATTCGTGTTGCCTAAGGGGTTCTATCTTGATGGTCGTGCCTAAGGTGTTCTTACTTGGTTAGCCCGTTCCCCGGAGCTTCCTCCCCCGGGTGATCCTGCGGCCTCCCCTCCGCAGCTGCCATCCATACACCACCGCCGTGCCCGGCCAGGGCCACGCCGGGCCCCACGGCGGTGTACAGGCCCTCCTGGCCTCGGCCAGGAGGCGTGTGCACCGTCCCCTTGCCCAGGATGGCCCTGGCCAGGAAGGGTGGTGGCGTATAGATTTCAGTCGGGCGTGTCCCCCTACAGGGGGATGTGCGACGAAAAACAACACATAGCAAACAAATATTCCCCAAATTGTTAAAGAATCATCAAAATTAGCCTGGCGAAGGACCCAACCATATGCAGCTGCGAGTACCGCGCAGGATATGAGATGAGGGAGGGGGGGCACGCCAGCCCGGAGACAAAGGGTTACCCTTGCCCCCGATTCGGCCGAGGATGGGTTACCACCCCCGGCCCGGACGCAAGGGGCTACCCCTGCGCCCGATTCGGCCGCCCATGGGTTACCACCGGCGGCCCAGAGACAAGGGGTTACCCCTGCCCCCGCTTCGGCCGAGGATGGGTTACCACCCCTGGCCCGGACGCAAGGGTTTTTTCCCTTGCGCCCGGCCGCCGTCGTCCCTCGTGACTTCGCGGCCAGTCCCATATATGGAACCATCGCCATGGGAACACACTTGCTCTCTGCTACCCCGCCTGCCATGCTACATGCTATCTACTCATGCTGGCGTCCGGCGGGGCTCGGCGTTAAAACTGTTAAACGCTATTGGGGGCCATTGCAAGGTACATATAAACCAATATAGTTACTGGGCCGGCCACAGACAGAGAAAGAGAGATCACGACAGAGACGGCGACGACAAAGCGCGGTTATCTTCGCCAATGCGTGTCCTTGCACGCTGTCCGGGTCTTGTCGCGCTGGCGGGTGTCTTTGACAGAGCGGCAGGTGTCTCTGGCAGGTGTCTCTGGCAGAGCGCCTTTAGGGACGAGCTCTCTTGGGGGCCATTGCAAGGTGAATTTAAACTAATAGAGTTAATGGGCCGGCCACAGACAGAGAAAGAGAGATCACGACAGAGACGGCGACGACAAAGCGCGGTTATCTTCGCCAATGCGTGTCCTTGCACGCTGTCTGGGTCTTGTCGCGCCGGCGGGTGTCTTTGACAGAGCGGCAGGTGTCTCTGGCAGGTGTCTCTGGCAGAGCCCCCGGGGGCTCGGGGGGAGGGCTGGCCGCAGCTCCGAAGAATATGCTGGGACGCATGCGAACGCAACCACTGGGGCCCCTTCGGTGGAGCTCCCTATGGGGCCACGAAGCGTGTGAGGGGTGGGCCGAAATGGGCGAGGGGCGGCATGCCAACTCTG